CTCTCTCTCTCTCTCTCTCTCTCTCTCTCTCTCTCTCTCTTTGATTCGTTGAGCGCGAATCAATTATCGTTGCAGTTGCATTTGCGTTTCATCGAACGCAATCACTTGAACGATTTTTAGTGAAGGAAAAGAGGAACTTCATAAGCGAAATCTAATAGCCAGTTTATCATAAAATTTTATTAGGAAGCTGTTTACTGTAATAAATATTTAATAATTATATTTGAAAGTACAATGTATTTACAAACGTTTCGGCCTGAAAAAAATTTTTGACTAGCTTTTTAACTGTTAAACAATATGTTTCTTTCATTTTCTACTCTTCCATCTCATTATTTTTGGATTGGCATAAACACCGATGACATTAATTCATTACAATAAAAAATTTTTTTTTATCTTTATTCGCTGATCCTGCTAAAATATATGCGTTGCGTATCTCAAGTTTTAATATGATTCATGTCATTTTATTTGCTAAATTATTGCGTGCAATTGCTATTCATTATTATTGTGCACTGAAGAAGGCCTGACATGAGATCGAAACGTTTGTAAATACATTGTACTTTCAAATATGATTATATAATCTTTCGCACAAAGATCTTGCATTCTGGTTCTTTATGCTTCTATTAATTTTAATTGATTGTTTTAATCATTTGAGCTTTGTTATACTTTTAATATTTAATAATTTTTACTAAAACTCTTCTGTCTGGATTTATATTAGCGCAAAACATTTACGAAAAAGAAAAGAAAAAATTAAAAAAAATTGTACAGTTATAAAAATTATCATTTTGATAGTTTAAAATAAAAATTATATTTAATATTTAAAATTAAAAATCATAATTTTAATGTTGATCATTCAAATAAACTCTGTTATACAAAAAAAAATTTATTTTATTGTTTTAATCTGATGTGTTTTTATATGTTTTAAATTTTTAATTTTTAAAATTATAATTTGCGCTTTTGTGAAAGTCAATTTAGAAGAAATAATTTATATTCTATACAAAAATGCACAAATACTTGTTTATAATTAGAAATGCGCCTAATTTTAGTAATTAATATATACATATACGAGAACGTCGTTTAAAATAATAAAAATATAAGCAGTAGTAGCGGCTACGGTGACTAAAAATAATTAATGGTACTGCTAATTGTGATTAAATAGCTCGCAGTTATAATTAATCATAGTTTTATTTCTGAAAAAGATACAAAAGAAAAATTACAATTATCACTTACTCGACACAAATATTGCAAGTAGATTATGACAGGTGGTTTAATAGTTGATAATTAATGCTAATGGTCCGGGTGACGTAATTTACTGTTATCGCGATGCGCGCGGCATTTCAATTGCGTCTCTGAGCGTATTGCAAGTGATACGGATGCGATCGCATGAATACAAGCGTTCTCATTACCAAACTGTATATTGATCATTATCTATATTCGTCGATTCACGTATATTTTTTATTATACTGACTGCCGCAGGGATATAAATCACGTTGTATTTTCTTGGAAATTATGGTGTTTAGATATAATTTTAAAAGTTATATGTTCTTAATTTAATTTGACGAGTTTGAATACGAATTAAGTGGAAGATATATAAAAATATTTGTCATTTGCGTGCAACAAAATAAAATTGTCACTTGTATTACTACAGCTACTAAGGAAATAGAGATATCACCCATATATGTATCATGTAGCAAAATTTTATTCAAACAAGGTTTCAATTTTTGAGAAAGATTACTTACGCTATTTCGTTCCCGAAGACCAAATAAATATTAAATATATATCTGTAAGATCACTTGGTCTTTGCGGAGCTCAGAAACATGTCGAATAATCGACAGTGTAATTTCCACATCAAAAGGCGAACAATTCGCGATCATCGTAGAAAAGTGGGTCACTACATTGCCTGACAAATTTCCTATTTTCGCTCTTACGCGGGAGCCGTAACATTTCCATAAAACGGACCTTAAATTCCTAAGAATCTTATCGAAAACGATCTACATAAAAGGTTTAGCCGCAGAAAAAAAACTGCGATAAGACATTTTGCGTCATTTCTTCAAGATTCCAGACGCGATAAATGCAAGCTGTCCCAGATACGAATCTTCCTCCGATCGTGATGACGATTAATCGTCGCAGATCGACGATCATGTCCATTTTGCGGATGACAGGTGATATTTCAAAAGATCCAAGCGGCGAGATTTATTGCTGCGGTCTAATTGAATCATGCACAGGAGAAAATAAGAACAAAATAATTTAAGTGATCGTGGCATGACAATAATTCTATTAATAATTTATTAGCCTTTAATTTATTGGTTTATTGTTGTCGTCTTTTAATAATTGTACAACAAGCATTAAATGAATTGTCACTTCTTAATTATAACGTTACTATTATTATTGGAAGTTTATTTTACTTTTTATTAGAAAATGTGTTTTGATGTTGCGAATCTTTCAAAGTTATTCTTGTAGCTACAATTGCATTAGAAGTTTCGATTTCTCGCGACAGCCCGTTATCCAAATTATTCCAATATTGGGATTGGTTTGAATAAATCTTGGAAATGGCTGATCCTGATTTGCTATTGTTATTCCCTCCGATCCGCATGCATGATTCAATTGCAACGATTAATCGCTACTACAATCGGCCTGAAGTCCAAGGGGAACGTATATCTATAGGCAAGCGCTCGGTAAGTTTCGTGCAGGTAAATGCGAGAGCACCGTGTGTATATATATATATATATATATATATATATATATATATATATATATATGGTAATATATAATATATATATATCGCGCTCCACTCTATATTGGATAAGTCGACCAGTAGATAAAGATATTTCGACGTAGATGCGGGAGCGAGATAGCCGATGATTTGTGATCGCGGCGAGTTACACGTAGATTCAACACTTAGGCTCAAATGACATTCCATTTATTAGTTCTGTAGAAAATCAAGGTCGTAATTCAATTCGCAATTTTTGCAAACGTTTTTGCACTTTTGTGTTTCGCACAAAATTAAAAGCGACTGCTAAAAGTTGATGACCCAATTCGAAAACAATTAAAAAGTTTCAATTTGGTGGAATAGACGTTTATTCGATAATTATTCGATTTATTGAAATATGTATTAACGCTAAATGATTTATTTTATGTTAATGAATTATTAGAAGCAATAATTGGATTTTATGAGTTTGACGTAAATTTTATTGTAAACAAGCGGAGTGTGTTTCGAGTTGTTATTTTCTCGAACTGGGCCATCGAGATGTTTTCGTTGTAGAAAAATGTCCTGTCAGGAGGATTTGTTACAGAGGATCGTCCTGGTAAAATTTTTCATGATGCACGTTTACATTAGAACTCAGACAAAATATTTGAATGTTTTGTATGTTCAAACTATTCAAACAGTTTGAAGCAAAACGGATGAGTATCTACTTTGCACATATTGCACAGTTCGAATGTAAGCAGTGATCGATCTGTAACATTGACCCGTAAAAGGTCTTGAAAATTCTGATTAAAAATAATAATGAAAATTTTAATAAAAAAGTAAAAAGATATTAATTTCTATTATAAGATACTTTATTTTAATTGTCCGTAAACTGTTAATAAAAGAAATATTAGACATATAAGCGAGAAATGTTTGTAAAATATGATAGTTTGCAGGCAAATAAAATAAAATATGTCAAACTAGAAATCGATATTTTTTATGCATTTTTATTAAAGAAATATCCACTACAGAATGAAATAAATTAATTGACGAAAATTTGGAGATATAATTTTAAATATATTTAAATTAATCCGAACTGTTCAGCGAACTGCTCGAGCATTTAAAATTTCCAAACACTAGTTTTCGCCATATACATATTTATCGACGAATATATTTCAGTTTTATTTTTAATCGTTCAAATGATACTTTCTTCCGCACGAAAAACAAATGCGACACGAAAATAAAGTCGAAGGTATTTAACGTTTGACGACAATAGATGACAGGTGAACGAATATTTTCTATAAAACAAAATATAATAGATTCAATCGAGAATATCGTCGTCATGCTGGGAACTCTTATAGCAACGATAACTCAAAGATAAGAATTTGGTATCATTGGATTGAAGTATGAGAAAAAGATTTATAGATTTTGTTAATAAACGGAAAGTAAAAGTAAAAGTATCGTAGTAAAACTTTTATTGAAAGTAAAAAAAGTAGTATAAAGAAGTTAAATATTTATTCATATTTTGCATGACTTATACCTTGTTTTTTTTTTATATTAATATTATCGCAACGAATGTACAAATAATGTACATTTATATGTATCATAAAATTATGCACGCCTTGAATCTTGTTATTTCACGAATATTATTCTGACTAATCATAGCTTACCGGAGTGATAACGAGTTTCGTGTGTGTATTTTCGTGCAGGCAAACGGGAGTTTGTCATGATGAATGATTGGCACGAATGATTGTTGAGGTAAACACGAAATTGAGATATGTTGCGATATATCATTCGCACTCTAAATATTGCCAGCCGTTTTTTTTTTTCGTCGAACGATTATACTACACTTCTAAAAAAATCAAAATTTTATCTGATAAGCGGGATCACCAAAAATTCGCCAACAAAATTTATAGAGGCGAGATATGGGAATATGCTTTTTTTATTTTCTGCAAATAATCGAAATCAAATTTATAAAACTAGTTCGTGTGGGAGCAGGTAAGCTTCTCGTTGTTGGACGAAATGAAAGATTCGATCGATCGACGTCGTAATGACCGCAATTCTGCGAGCAGTCATCAATGATCTCTTCCAAGTCAAAGAACTACGTAATGTTTGTCATTGTGCGAAAATCAATGCTTAGAGAAGCATCGTGTTATGTGAATGTCAGCATTGAAGAGGGAATAAATGAAATAAGTAGAAAAAGACAATTTTACAGCGGCGCCTAATTTACCAATAAGGGACTATCTACTAATAATTGTATTAAATCGTTGGAAAAGTTTTATCGGTTTTCACGTAAGTCGTTAAGACTTTTATGAAATTGGAACTTAGCGTTCCTCAAGCCTTCAAATGCTTCATTCTAAAATAAATTACTGAGGCCGAGAGAACTTTTACAACAATTCAATACTCAATTAACTTTTTCACTGTTTTTTACCTTCTTATTCAATATATGAATAATATGTACAAATAATGAACAAAAATATTATATATATATATATATATATATATATATATATACATATATATTTTAATAAACAACATTTGGACTTTGACAGAAGCATTACGTCCAGTGAAAAAGTTAACATTTAGCTACAAGCTCTTTTTGCCAGCCAGCAAACAAAACAGCGGACTCGGAATTAGCAGCTGGGAAGAGGGGGCTCTCTCCGGGGTGTTAGGTGAGCGAAAACAAACCGAAATGAAAACCTGAGCATTTGCGTTTTGCGTAGCTCCGAATCGTTCCGTCTTACCTTCGCTGTTCTCATCCTCGGTTGACTTGGCCGATTGTAGCTTCGCGCTCGGTTGCTTCGCTGCAATCAAAATTCGCAGCTGGCACCGCGTTCTCTTTTTTCCTTTTCCCTCTCTTACTTTTCTTTCGCCCTCCCTTTAGCGTTCGCTTTTTTTTCTTTCGCCTGACTGACTGACTCTTCGCCATGATCGATCACACAACCCTAATCTCAAGGTCGGTCGGGAAATTCCGGGTGTAACTACTGTGTGCGCATGTGTATGTGTAGCTATTGAAATTCACCGATATTTCTTTTCGAATGCGAAATTCTACTTTCCACCGTATCGCAAAATATCGACAAGGGATTGTAGTGACAGTGAAAACGATGACTCACAGTTGTCTGCTGTTCGGTGAGTAGAAAGAGGACTATCATTTTCGTTGAAACTTTTTCGGGAGTCGACGATATGATACTTTTTCTAAACTGTCAGTGGTGTCGTGAATAACATAACGATGACATGTCGCAATGACATATCCAGTAATGATATTTTTTTCTGGTTGACAAAGATTGCGTCATTTTCCAGTTAATTAAGATTTGTATATACGCTGTCATTTTATAGACTGTATGCAATTAACTATCAATACATAAGAAAAAGCAACAAGAGCCACTGCTGGATGATCAGCAGAAAACCATATATTGCAGAAAACCATATATTGCAGAAAAACATATATTTCAAATACAAATAATAACAATAAATGTTTTGGCATGAATATCAAGCCAACCTCAGTGTAAAATATTGATGTTCGCAATACAAATCATTCAGCAGTGGCTCTTGTTGCCTTTTCTTATGTATTGATAGTTAAATCATATGAGCTTTTAAGAATTTTATGCAATTAAATTTGATAAATTGCAGTCTTCTTTTTTCTTCATTTACATCCAAGAATCAAACATCATGACACCTCTGGCGATACTATCGATGAACTAATTCTGCCAGCTCACGTTGAAAGAAAAAACAAAGAAAAAAAAGACAAAAGAAAAACGTTTGCGAGTGATGATCACACGGGTGGAAGGGAGCAGAGTTTGATCGCCCACGATCCATGCCGGATTTATTTCATTTTTTTACACCAGAAACGAGCGCCGTCGCCGAGATGGGAAAGTCGACGGTGCGGAATTCATTGCGGCCAAATTGCCTTACATGAAACGAGGTCGCGGAAGATCGCGCGAGATCGTGGACGATTAAATTCGAGTGACGACTAGCTGAGAAATCGATGATCGGTGGAAATGGATTCTGATATAGACATGCTGATAATACTCGTAGTTATTAGCCCTTTGTCAATGATTTTTTTTTGCACCTTTTTTTGTTGGTGTTATAAGCCGTAATGTTCCTTATAAATTAATAAATTATATTAAGAACGCAGACATGAAAATATAATAAAAACAATAAAAAATTTTAGAAAAGATGTAAGATAAATATTAAACTTTTCGTTTTGATGTAAATTAGAGTAAACCAGAAAATTCCGAACTGAATTAGTTGCTTCGATGCGAGATAAATTTTTATTTTTATATCCACTTGTTGTTCCTACTGCGGTTGAAATAAACGTTTTGTAATCTCTGGCAGATTCTTAAGATTCCTTAAATCATGTGGAGAATTCCTAGCTGAAGTCTGCGTTGGAAGGAATTCGCATTCGAGTTTTCTTTTGTGAAAATTATCGTTTCTCATTACAATAGTTTATCTCGCAGCGTTGAATATCAAAATTATAAATATATTTATTATTAAATATTATAAATATTTTTAATCGATACATAATGTATAATCACAAGAATATTATATTCCAGTTAAGTGACAATATTTCATCCATCAGTTGTTATTAACAAGATGAAAGAAATATTTAAAATTAATGATTTTATACGAATATAACGTAATTATTTGCAAATACTTTGACGGGGCCAAAAACCGCATTTTCGCGCTTAATCGCGCGTTATCGAAATATTACATCATCGCTCAATCGGATGGAAATGAGGGGAGTCCACCGATTCGATCGACAGTTGGCGTCTGTTCTCGAAAGTTGGGCCCGAGATGGGTCCACGTTGCCGGCAGGTAAAAAAATGCATATCTACTCTGACTTAAGCGTTCACACGTTCACACAAAGACATCAGTATAGGGCAAAGTGAAAACTTCACAACACCGAGAGAACAGATACATGATAATGTATATATATATATATGTATATATATATATATATATATATATATATATATATACGTAA